CCCTAGATGAGTACTTGAGGTATACCTTTCATGTGGGCTGAGTACACCCTCCACTTGTAGTTGAGCCTTGATAGCTCTTGGCTGATCAGTGGGAAGGAGTTACAAGGGCCAGTCATCTGCAAGGACCAGCTGTGACAACTGACCACTAGCCTAGGCCCTCTGTGGAGGATCAGCTGTGTTGAGGCAGGGTGGTGATGCTTCAGTGTGATCTGTAGCTGTCCATTGGGTGTGTAGGCCCTGGGGCTTCCCAGGTGGTGCAGGCCAAGGTCAACCCTCATCTGTGTTCTGCCTGGGGTCACCCTGCATGAGCTACTAAGCAATCTGAGATGGCTGCTACTGGTGCTGGGCTTGGAGGTTTCCAGGAGAAGCCAAGCTGTGAACCTAGTCTGGCTGCTGCTAGTGCTGGGCCTGGGACTGGTTAGCAAGTGGTATGGGGCTGGGGTCTCATTGAGGCCGGTTGTTGCTTGTTTGAGAGAATTTAGGGAGTTATGAAGCATGAGCCAAAATATGGTCTTAATTTTTATTCTTTGTTTATTGGGCATATTTATTTCCTCTTTTGTGAAATCCCTGTTCATGTATTTTTGTCCATTTTTCCATTAAGTTGTTGGCATTGATATTAACAGTATGTTACCCATTCTTTATGATACTAATACTATGTTGGATGTATGTGTTTGAATATATTTTTCCAGTTTGTGATTTGATGATTTATTTTCTTTAAGGTATCTCTTGATTACTAGAAGTTTTTAATTTTAATGTAATCAAAATCTATTAGTCTTTTATGGTCCATACTTTTGTTGTGACTTCAGTCATCTTTTTCTAGCCCAAGGTCTAAAAGATATTCACCAATACCTTCCACTAGGATATTTAATGGTTTATGTTTTAAACATAAGACCTTAATCACCCTAGAGTTGGTTTGTGTTAATTGAGTAAAGTGAGTAATCAACTTCACTTATTTTTTATAAAGATTTCTTTTCTACAAATATTTATTTATTTATGATCCTCACTTGAGGATATTTATTGGTTTGAGAGAGGGAGACAGAGAGAGAGAGATCAATGTGAGAGAGAAACATCAGTTGGTTGCCTGCCTTATGCACCCCAGCTGGGGATCAAATCTACAACCTAGGTATGTGCCCTACCAGGGATGGAACCTACAACCTTTTGGTGGATGGGAAGATGCTCCAACTAACTGAACAACATAGCTAGGGCCAAATCTTCATTTATTGATCTAATTTAAATTTAACTTACATTTAAATTTAATTTTAATGTAATTTCTTTTTCAGCTTGGCTACTATTTTAATTGAATTTATTGGGGGAAAATGTATTGGTTAATAAATTATAGGTTTCAGGTGGACAGTTCTAGAATACATCATCTGTATATTGTATTGTGTGTTTACTACACTAATCCAAGTCTCCTTTCATCACCATTTATTCCCACTTTACCCTCTTCTGCCTCCCCCAAACCCCCTTGCTTCTGGTAATACCATACTGTTGTTTGTCTCTGTGAGGCTTTTTTTTTTGATAATTCCCTTACATTTTTCACCCAGTCCCCAAACTCCCTTTCCTCTGGCAGCTATCATCAGTCTGTTCTCTATGAGTCTGTTTCTATTTTGTTAGTTTATTTTGTTCACGATTCCATATATGAGTGAAATTATATGGTACTTGTCTTTGTCTGACTTGCTTATTTTACTTAGCATAATGCTCTCTAGGTCCATCCATATTGTTATGAAGGGCAAAATTTCCTTTTTTTTTTACAATGAATAGTATTCCATTGTATAAATGTACCACAACTTTTTTACTGCTGGGTACTTGGGTTGCTTCCAGATCTTGGCTATTGTAAATAATGCTGCAATGAACATAGAGGTGCATATATTCTTTTGAATTAATGTTTTGGGTTTCTTTGGATATATTCCCAGGAGTGGAATCTCTGGGTCAAAATGCAGTTTCATTATTAATTTTTCATGGTAACTCCATACTGCTTTCTACAGTTGCTGCACTAGTCTGCATCTACAAATCGTACATGAGTATTCCCTTTTTACCACATCCTTGCTAACACTTGTTTGTAGATTTATTGATGATAGCCATTTTGACAGGTGTGGGGTGATATCTCATTGTGGCTTTAATTTGCATTTCTCTGATGATTAGTGACATTGAGCATTTTTTATATGTCTATAAGCCATGTGTACGTCCTCTTTGGAGAAGTGTCCATCCAGGTCCTTTGCCAATTTTTTAATTGGATTGTTTGCTTTTTTAGTGTTATGTTGCATACTCTCTCTATAAATTTTAGATATTAATCCCTCATCAGATGTATTGGCCAAAATGTTCTCCCATTCTGTAGGTTGTTTTTCTACTTTGTTGATAATTTCTTTTGCTGTGCAAAAAAAAGCTTTTTGGTTTGATGTGGTTTCATTTGTTTATTTTTATTTTTGTTTCTCTTGCCTCAGGTGATATATCAGAAAATATTGCTGTGAGTAATGTCTGAGATTTTATTGCCCTAAGTTTTTTTTCTAGGATTTTTAAGTTTCAAGACTAACACTTAAGTGTTAATCCACTTTGAGTTTATTCTTGTGTATGATGTGAGAAGGTGGTCTAGATTCATTTTTTTGCACCTGTTCAATATTCCAACACTATTTTATTGAATGACTATCTTTAGCCCATTGTATGTGTTTACCTGCTTTGTGAAATATTAACTATAAAAGGTGTGGGTTTATTTCTGGGCTTTCTATCCTGTTCCATTAATCTATATGTCTGTTTTTCTACTGTACCATGCTGTTTTGATTACTATGGGCTTGTAGTATGGTTTGATATGAGGCAGCCTCATTCCTCCATTTTTCTTCTTCTTTCTCAATATCACTATTGCTATTTGGGGTCTTGTATGGTTCCATATAAATTTTTGTAGCATTTGTTCTAGATTTGTGAAATATGCCATTGGTACCTTGATAGGAATTGCACTGAATCTCTAGATTGCTTTGGTTAGTATGGGCATTTTAATAATGTTAATTCTTTCTGTCCATGAATATAGTATATGCTTCCACTTATTTGTATCTTCTCAATTTTTTTCTTCAGTGTGTTATAATTTTCTGAGTACAGGTCTTTTACATCCTTAGTTAAATTTGTTCCGAGGTATTTTATTTATTTATTTTTGAAGTGGTTGTGAATGGGATTGTTTTCTTAGTTTCCCTTACTGATAGTTCATTATTGGTATATAGAAATGAAACTGATTTCTGGATATATATTTTGTATCCTGCTACTTTACTGAATTCATTTATCAGTTCTAGAAGTTTTTTGGTAGAATTTTTAGGGTTCTCTATATACAGTATTATGTCACCTGCAAATAATGAAAGTTTTACTTCTTCATTTTCTATTTAGATGCCTTTTATTTCTTCTTATCTGATTGCTTTGGGTAAGACTTCTAGTACTATGTTAACAGGTGTGGTGAAAGCAAGATATCCCTGTCTTGCTTCCGGTCTTAAGGGAAACACTTGTAGTTTTTGCCAATTGAGTATGATGTTGGCTGTGGATTTGTCATACGTGGCCTTTATTTCATTGAGGTATGTTCCCTTTATTCCCAGTTTTCTCAGAGTTGTTATCATAAATCAGTGGTGGATTTTATCAAATACCTTTTCTTCACCTACTGATAAGATCATGTGGTTTTTATCCTTCATTTTGTTTATGTGGTATATTATGTTTACCGATTTGCACATATTGTACCAACCTTGCACTCCAGGAGTAAATCCCACCGATAGTGTTGTATGACCTTTTAAATGTTTTTGCTGGATCTGATTTGCTAATTTTTTTTTTTTGCTAATTCAGGATTTTAGCATGTATATTAGGGATATTACTTGTTATCAGGGATATTACCTGTAATTTTCCTTCTTTGTAGTGTCTTTGTTTTTGGAATTAGGATAATGCTGGCCTCATTAAATGAACTTGGAAGTCTTCTCCCTTCTTGCCTTTAGTCTGCTTAAATGTTTTTTCATCTTGTTTATCTTTTCAAAGAAACAGCTGTTGGTTTCATTGATCTTTTGTATTTTTGTTTTTAGAAATTATTTATTTTATTTCTTCTCTGATCTTTATTATGTCCCTTTTTCTGCTCACTTTGGACTTCGTTGTTCTTTTTCAGTTTACTTTAAGTGTATAAAGTTAGATGGAGATTTTTCTTGTTTCTTACATTAGGCATATAATGCTATGAATTTTCTTTTCCTTGGACTGCTTTTGCTGTGTGCCATAGATTTGGAGGTGTTGTATTTTCATTTTCTTTTGTTTCAAAGTATCTTTTGATTTCTTCTTTGATCTTGTTATTAACCCCTTCATTGTTTAGTAACATGTTATTTAGCCTTCTTTTCTTTGTATATTTTTCAGTTTTTATCCTGTGATTGATTTCTAATTTCATATTATGATGGTCAGAGAAGATGCTTGATACAATTTTAGTCTTCTTAAATGTATTGAGACTTGTTTTGTGTCCTAAAATGTGGTCTATCCTAGAAAATGGTCTATGTGCACTTGAAAAGAATGTATATTCTGCTGTTTTGGGGTGATATGCTCTGAAGATATCAATTAAATCTATCTGATCTAGTGTGTCATTTAAGGCATTCATTTTCCTGTTGATTTTCTGTCTGGAAAATCTGTCCATTGATGTCAATGGCGTGTTAAAGTCCTCCACTGTGACTATATTACTGTCAGTTTCTCCCTTTATGTATATCAGGATTAGCTATACATATTTAGGTGTTTGTATGTTGTGTGCATAAATATTTATTACATGGGTCATATCCTCTTGTTTCATTAAGTTTAATCTTAAGTACAGTGGTTGAACTTGCTACCTATGCATATACCAATGTTTTGAATACAATGATCTATTTCTGGACTTTTAGTCTGTGCTTTTGTTCGTTTATGAGTAAGTCTGTGTGTGTTTGTTGTATTCATCTTTTAATATTTTTATCTTTGAATTTTAGACTTACACACATATACATCTAGATTTTGAAATACTTTGTTTTTTCTACTAGGTTTTGGACATAGTAAAAACAAGTATTCGTACAATTCTTCCACGCATCTGGAAAGTAACTGATGTTGATGAAATATATTTATATCGGATTTTTAACCGGGTTTTTAACCGCTTACTCTGGAGTCATGGCCAGGGACTGTGGAATTGTTTCTGTGATTCAGGGTAAGTTCTAAGTTATATTTTATTATTTTCATTTAAGATATTTTACCAAAAGTTATACAGGTAGCTCAATAACATGGTTAAATTTCTGTAATAATCTCTTAAAATATGGATTTTTTTACTACATGTAATTTTTAGTACTCAACTATTATTTGTAGCAGTTAAGCTGAGTTTGTAGAGCTGATGATTATTAACACTATCAAACTATTTTGAATTCAGGGGGAAGAGGTGGTCTTAATTAATGAGAAATCTCAGTATCCTTAAGGTTCTTCAGTGTTTGTCTCTATGTAAACAATTTCTGAAATTATGGCTGTATTCATGCTCCTCCCCAGAATTTCAGTCCTGCCAAAGCTGTTGTGACTCATTATCATGCTAGCCTTAAGATAGCTAAAACCAAACATTCCATACCTTCCTTTCATTCAGGAATGAGTTTCCTTCTTGACTTCTCTTAACCTCATTGTTATTCTCCTAATTGTTCAGGTTTGATATCTCAGGCGCATCTGCATCTGCCTTGTCTTTCACCGTCTTTGTTCAACCATCTGCTAAATCGTGTTAATTTTTCTGTCATATAGCCACTATGGCTACTGTAGGTTGTCTTTCATTGTTCTTAACAATTATCAAGTACTTACTACTGTGTTCAATACTTTTGGAGATACAAAGTTGAATCTAACATAGATCCTTCCCTCAATAGGTTTTAAAAAACAATGGGAATAGGACCACTCTATACTACTTACTATGTGCTAGGCATTGTTCTAAACACTTTACGTAATTAAGTGATTGAGTCCTCATAATGTGACCTTGAAGCAGTTCTCTGATTATCTCTATTTTTTAGACAAGGAAACTGAGGCACAGGTAGGTTCTAAAGACCTAGTACACTGGGACTTGAACTCAGGGATCCAGATTTCATGCCTTTAACCAATTAGTTCTGCTGTCTCCAATAGACAAAATAAGATATATACAAAAGTAATGATTATAAAAGAGACAGTGATAAGGTATTATAGGATCTCAGAGAAGGGGAGCCTTTTTGTGATAGAAGGTAGAATTAATAGAGTTCTAGGCATTTTTTGCCTTCAATTTTTTGTTTCCTTTACCTGTCCTAGTCTCAGGATTATTTCCTAAACTCTGTAGTGAATTCTGTCATTTATCGTGAAAGTCTGAACTTCTTATCTAGAGGCACAAGACTCTCACATATGCTGGTTCTTTCTTATTTCTCTAGTCTCCTCCTCATTACTTTCCTCTTTGAACTCTGTTTTAGAAAAACAAACTTATTATTTTTCAAATATCTTAAAAGTGTGCCTCTTCTTTCTCTGAGCTGTTGAATGTCATGCCATGGAGCATCTCACTGGGTTGCTTGCTGCAACCCCAGTCCTTCAGTCCCCTCTGCATTATTTAAACCCTGTACAAAGACTCAGACTATACATTTCTTTTGTAAAATCTCAACAAACAATTGCGGTCTGAAATGATCTCTGAATGTCCACCATTTAAATATTCTAGTCATTTAGTACTGAATCATGTATAACATTTGCACACTTATTCTCACCACCATGATTATCCTCAGCTTCCATTCACCAACATGGAGAATTCATAAGGTGCTCTGGGTTGTAATGAAATCAGAGAATAATTCAGGCTATAAATTAGTTCTATAGAAACTTAAGTGAAATCTTTAGACTGTATTCCATGGCCCCTTAGTTGATATAGAAGTTCTCTCAATGTGAATTCATAATTGGAATTTTTGTTTGTTGATTCATTGTTTGGAATGCCATGTATGACTCCCAGTTACTCTCTACCATGGAAGGCAGTGAGGCAGTCTGTTACTGATATTGGAGCTGATGACTTTGAGTCCGTGAGATAATCCCTAATGCCAGACCCTGATAATGCTCATAAAGTGGTGGTTCATTGCTGCTAGAGCTTCTTTTCCATGAACTATTTTGGTAATACACTCTAACTTAACTCAGAATTCTTTTCTCTTTCCCCGGCAAAATACTCTTCCAACTTTCTTTAGTGGTGTATGTGATGACTAAGTAATGATAATGAGACTATCATTTATTGAAGGCTTACTAAGTGCCTGACACTGTTTTACATGTTAAATATTATTAAAATTACCAAAATATTTTGGGTAATCTATTATTATTGTTGTCATTGTGTAGATAAGGAATTTGAAGCATAAAGAGATTATATAACTTGCCCAAGTTCTCATAGTAGCTAGGTGAGCCTGGATTGAACTCTAAGTTGTCTGAGTTATCAAGAGCTCATCAAGCCCTTAACACTATGCTTTATTAAGTTCCTTCAAAGTATCCCTGACAGCACTTTCAAAGCTTGCTTTATTGAAAGTCCATAGCATTAGCCAAATCCCCTTCCCACTGCCCCTGGGCAGGTGGAGTGGGAGTAGCTTTGAATCCATTTATTTTTTAACTTGGTGGTTCGTAGAGGTGAATTTAATACTGGGTTTTATTTTGCAGCTTTACAAGTGAGTTTCTTAGATTTCCTCAGTTTCATGAGGTCAAAGGTGTTGTGTATGTTTGATTCTCAGTGTGGATCCAGAAGAGTTATACTTATCTTTAGATCATATCAGTCAATGTATACACCTTTAACTCTGGCCTAACAGCCTGACTACTAAGTCAGGGTAGAACTATTCTCTTAGTTTAGTTCTAAAGGAAAGATTTTAATAAGAGATTGCAGTTATCTTTCATAGTTAGGTGCAAAACTTTGGAAAAACATAGTCCAAATAACTCCGGGCATACTTGATTACTGCCTCTACCTGTCAACAGCCCAATAGTAAAACAATGAGTAAACCATTCCCAGTCTACACCCAGCATTATCAAAGAATGTGGTAGATATTTATGGTAGTTTTCTTTGGAATTGGCTTGGAGGTTATACTAATGCATCACATACAAAACATCTTTATCCCTCTCTTTTGCTCTTCCAATCTGCTGAAGTCTGTGCTTAGTGACCTTTTTTTTATTACATGCAGCCTCCTGGGAGTGTTATATTGCCTCACATTCTGAATGTGTTCTCTCTAAGGGAATAGCTCTTAGAATTTTCCCCCATGTTTTTTTTTTAAAGACTTTATTTATTTATTTTTAGAGAGAGGGTAAGGGAGGGAGAAAGAGAGGGAGAGAAGCATCGATGTGCAAGAGATACCTTGTCTGGTTGCCTCTCCCATGCCTCCAACTTGGGACCTAGCCTGCAACCCAGGCATGTGCCCTGACTGGGAATTGAACCAGAGACCCTTTGGTTCCCAGGCTGGAACCTAGTTCACTGAGCCACACTAGCCAAGGTGTGTCCACCATGTTACTGGGATAACAGAAATTAAGAGTTTTTAGGACGCAGACAAGGCCTAGAGCTTGGGAAGGATGGCCAAGGGAAGTAACATTTCAGCTGAGATTTGCAGGAAGAGGAAAAATGGTGGTTTTCCAGGAAAAGCAAAGAGGAGGGTGCAGAGGCTAATAGAGGGGAAGGAATGTTGTGTTTGGAAAAGCCCTCTTTCTCCTCAAAACCCTGACATGTAAACCCTAAAGAAGAAAATCTGACTTGGACCCTTTAGCTAAAGGCATTTTCTTGTGGAAGTTTCTCATGGAAAAGCTTTTCTTTTAGCATCTTAGGGAAAGGGGAAATTATAAGGAATATTCTAAGGCAGTCAGTCTGCTTCTAGGCTGAACCCTCTGCCTACTTGAAAATGTACGTATAACATGTGAACTACTTAAAATGATGTGAAACTTATTATTCTCATATGACTTCCATTTCAATATGTTTTTTTTTGTACTTTTCAGCTCATTACTCTTTCTGCTGTTGATTACTCAATTGGCATAATACCGATGTTTTTTACCTTCCCCTTCCCCTTCTTGTACGTAATTAACTTTGGGCCACTCATCCATCCACTAGGCTTCTTCCAGTAAAGGAGAGAGAAATGAGTCAGTTTCACCACTGATAACTGCTTTATTAAATGTTTTGATGAGAAAGGACATGAAAATTATTGCATTTCTGGGTTATATAAAGCTTTTCCAGTCCCTGAATTTTGTTAATAACTCCCCTTTGTTGCTAGAGGTGTTCAGTATTCTGGATCTTATTAATATATGACCAACAAAAGTCATTTAAAGTAGTTTTATTTCATGTTTCTCTCAAGATTTAGGTGTTCCAGAAAGAACTTTTTAACCATTTATTTTTTCTTTTTGAACTCACGGATTTCAGTTCTCCCATTTCCTTGGAATTTAGATTCAGAAAGCAGAGAGATGCAACCCTGGGTTCTTTGATAAAAGCACTGGTATTTTTAATTATTTCCACATCCTTCACCTTCTTAAAAAGTTTGTGTAGCACTGAGAGTTGAGATAACTGTAGTGTCCTGGGAGCATTTCACATTTACTCAGCTATGCCAGGTGGTGGGTAGGAGGTGGGGTCTCAGTTGAAGGACAGGTTTCCTTGGTGAAGAGGGGGTGCCATTAGCTTAGTACTAAATGAAACAAGTTCTGTTCATTTTCCTTTTTCTTTATGAGGGTTCCGGCATGCTGACACTTAAATATAGATAACAGAGTAGAAGGTGGTCTTCAGCCAGTGGTAGTGAACATACACAGCAAAAGTAGGTAAAGGCCCTTGATCTGTATGTTTATGTTAATTATTTAAGAATGAGAGAATGAGAAGCTAAAGCTGCTCAGATTATGTCACATATTCAGAACGCTACATCAATTCAATTTAGAGTGTCATAGAAGAAGCTCTTTTATCTTTCTTCCATTTTACTTGTCCTTTTCTTAGCTCTGAAAAGAAAAATTATCATGATGTGAGTGACCAGATACTGGATCAAATCAAATGGCTCCAAAAGATAAAAAAATAAGTAGAGGGACATTTGCAGGAGAGGTTGATATTTGCAGAAATATCCAGAATCCCAATGGAGAGAAGTGTTAGGTAGACTGTCAGAACACAGGATATTTTCTGAGTGTATTTATATTTATATGAATTTTTATTTCACTGGGCTCAGACATATAGGGCCTGCTAGGTGACTTATTAATTATAAACATATTCCTTAATTAACTGGTATTTTTCAGTATTTTTCCTTATCAAATTAGGTAAATTGGATACATACATATGATTGGATTTTCTTTATTAAATTAGGTGAATTGGATATATATAAACATATAAACATATCTAGTTTTACTTATTAAGTAATAAATTAAATTTTATTTTTAGAGTTAATTTAACTAGCATATTATTAGCATATTACTCTTGATTCTGAACATCTCACAACATGCAAGAAAATTTATTCCTTTTAATCAACTCATTTGAATCTTATACTTTTAAGAGAACCTGTCATCATTCACTGATGACGTGCTGTCTTTTTGAGACCATGTTTCTCCCCAAAAAAAAGTAGTCTTTCTAATAAAAAATAGCTTTATGAATTTCTAAAGCATTTATAAGAATTCCAGAGATATCAAATATCCACAGAAGATTGGAAATGGAGTCTTTGAATTTCCCACCGGGAAGTCTGTTTCTTCAGAAAAATATTTTCCTTAATATTTCTTTTCTTCCTGAAAATATACTCTTTTCTCTCTCTGAGGGCTAAGTAAATTGGTTTATGTAAAAGGAGATTTGAACCATTACCTAGCTTCAAACCAAACTTTGCCCTTGAGGTTTGAGAAGAGTTTCATTTATATTAAGGGAAAAAATTCATTCCCTTTCTCTGTCTCTCTCTCACTTCTGGTGGTGGTGGTGGGGTGATAAATGATGAGGTATTTCCTGATTTGGACCATAACAGTAAACTTAAGAACTGTAAATACACACACATGTGTGCACACAAATGCAATTGAAGTTCACTGAGAATGTAAGAACATGAACACTCACTACTGCCTACTTTGGTATAAGCCAAGTGAGGACCCTACCTTTGGAATTTTGGAGGGCAGTACTTGTTGTGATAATATTACTTCTAGAATAGAGAACTCTAGGAATATCATGCACATAATTATATCTGAAAGTTTTAAAAGGTGTGGTCATAATGAAGGGATTAACCTAAATTCTCCTAGTGCAAAGACGTCACAAATATCCCTTTAATTCTTTTTTGTGAGATTATTATTAACATAAAGGTAAATATAGTTTACTAGAAAACCTAAATTCCTGGAATACCTAAGTTTTGAGAAATTAGCTCAGTATTTTACAAAAACTTTAGTACAGAGTAACTCAATTTTTTTTAGGAGTTGTTGGGAAACCATCCATTCATTTACCCACAGTTGATAGCAGTAGTCTTTATAGACAAATGTCTGTGAATTCTATGTTGTTTTAATATCAAGATTAATTTATTAATATATATTTATTTTATACCTTTCAACTGTCACTTCAAATGTGTGAGCCTATTTCTAGTTTTTCTTACTGTTTTGTTGCTAGGTAAGTGATATAGTTGGTTGCCATTTATAACAGCCTCATGAGGTCATGTCTGTTTCCATGCCAACAGATCCTCTTGGGAGAGTATTTTCAGTAAAAGCCCTGAGGTGGTGACTCCTTTGCAGCTCCAATGTTGCCAGCGCCTGGTTGAACTATGTAAACAGTGCCTGCTAGTGGTTTACAGACACACAACTGACGCAAGAGGATCACTCTCAGGCATTTGTACTGATTGGGGTAATTCCAGGTACTTGTTTATGTTGCCTAGACTCTGTGAGTTTTATACTAAGTGATGCCATAATGCAGTTTGAAACTGAAAGGCTTTTTTTTATATGGCTACTGAAAAAGCCAAAGACTGAAAATTCATACATACTCTTGTCTACAAAATAGTTTGAATTTGCACAATCGTTACCTTTAAAGTACCATACAAACCTGAAGGGGATGGCAATAATGAAAATGAGATTATTAGGTTTACATACTTTTGCTTTTATAAGCCAAATAAGAACAGTTAAAATTGCTAATAAATTTAACTTTTTTCCCCAATAGGGATATTTTAATGTTTATTGTTAAGCCTAACAGTTGAGAAGATGCCTTTAGTTTAATTTTTATTGTTCAGTATGCTTCTACTACTCCTTTCATAACCAAACAAATCAGTGGGAGATGTATTTTGTTAAGTTCTATTTAAAAATTGAATTTTTATAAATGTTATCCACTTAGTTTCCAAAAGCATAAAAATAACATTGTTATTAAGTTGCAAAAATGTACAGAGTAAACAAGAAGCACATTTTAGCATCTCAAAACAACCATAGTTCCCATTAGAATTAAAGATGAATATATGACTTTATTTTTCACATATGTGAAGTTGTATCACTCTTTAGGATGGAAGAGAGTAAACCATGACTTTGAAAAACTAAGTGATCTTGAAAGGATGATAGGATTCAACTAACAGTTTAATAGATGATAAAGAAAATGAAACCACCTTAGCTTGAATTTTCTTTTTGACCTGTATTGGCTTGGAATGTTTTTCAGAAAAAGTAGTGAGAGATGGACCTGTAATCTTTGCTTGTCCTGGATTCTGTTATTATACTGTTGCAATACCTTTAACCTACTTTAACTCTCTACAAACAGAAGCCGATTGATCACAATGGTAGAGGTGAAGTTAGTCATCAATTTTCAATGTATGTAAATGCCAAAGCCATATTCTATAGTTTCAATTGTTTGAAGCAACTTATTGAAATAAACTTATATTACTTTCATTAATATTTCCATATGATTTCCATATGAAAGGATGATGGCCATCTTAAAGACTTTACAACATATATATGAAAGAGGCTTCTCTTTAAGTAGATCACTCTGGAAGCATGATCAGGAAAACTTTAAATTCTAGTCAGGAAGGATTGTTTCAGTCTTTTTAATGTTACTCTTACAATTCCAGATTTCATAATCCACTTTCTGTTGGGGGCTCATGTAACTTGTGAGTAGACAAAATAGGAAGTTGCTCTTGAGAAAGAACTTGTACCTTCAAGTTGCTTCAGGCCTTTTAATTTTTTTCCCCATCTGGTGGTCAGAAGAGATATTTCTAATCCTGGAATCTTGAATTCTCCACTTCTGATAAATGTTCATATAACCCCAACATAGTGATTATAAGCATTTTGGGAGGAGGTGGTGGTGGTCAGTAAACATACCCTTTTCCCTGCCCAAGTCCATAACCATGTTAGAGAGAAATGTAGGAGTCAGGCAGATGGTCACCAAAATGTACTTTTCTTATTGAGAAAAGCTACACTGAGGGACATGGATGTAAGCAAGTGAGTTTTCTAATACTGAATTGAAGAATTCAATGTACCCACCCACTCAGAGGCAGAGCTGGGTCAACCCAAACATTCCACTAGCACTACCTCATGAAGTCTAGTTCCATTGTGTTGGCAGAAGAGCAAGTAGGAATGCATCCTTTCTGCAGATAGGCTGATCCAAAAAGAGAAAGGGGTTGAGCCAAGCACGTCTTGTTCTTTTTTTAAACCCACAAATCAGATAGTTCACTTCTGGTAGGAGCCAGGAAGTTTATATTGGTGCAAGTTCTTCTACACAGAAACACGAGGAAGAGAGAGAAATAAACATGTCCTCCTCATATCTAGTTATTAAAACCCAAGTCAACGTCACATTAATTTTTAAAAAATGGAAAAAATGGCCATCTTTTCTTTCCCTTAGAGAGTAGGAACCTATAACTTTTTACTTTATATGTAGAAGCCACTTAATTTGATATTTATTAATAAAATATATATTATAAATATGGGCCTAATATAAATAATTTATGAGAATTTGCTAAATACTTTATGAGGAGGTGTATATATTTGGCTAATTGATCTATAAAATTAAAAAAGAAGAAAATAGAGCTAATATCAGTCAGGTTCTTGGCCATATTTGTCTTGACCACAGATTTACAGGATATTTCTTAAGAAGCTTTGAATAGTATATGGCATCTATTATTATTAGAAGGTTGTATTATTTCTGATACAACCTTATAATATTAGAAAAACAGTAATTGAATAGACTTACCAAGTGAAAAGCTATTTCTCAAAGTTGGACTCATAACTAAGCAAACAGAACTGATATATAAATCCAGGTGGTCAATTTTATATATCCAGGAAACTAGAATTCTTGGGCCCAGCTCACTTTTTCACTATAACTAGACCTACTTGGGAAGCTTTGGGATCTTCAAATACTTTGCAACCTCGGCATCTCTGTCTCATGTACTGAAATTCCATATAGGCTCATATGAAAAAGAGAATTCCTTGGCTAAAAACATTTTAAAAAAACACTGACTTAGAACTGCTGCCTTTGGTAATAGGGCCATAGTTATTTGGGCAAACCCTCCCTGTGATAACAACTAGAAAAGCTGGAAAAAATACCAAAACATTTGCTTGAAGATATAAGAGAATTTTAACCAGGCACTTGTAATGAGTATATTAACATGTATTAAATTGAAACACAAGGAAGAGAGAGAAAGTACAAGTACTTAGTACAAGTACTAAGTAGTGCTTTTGACAAACTCTTGGGACTAAGCAAAAAAGTAGGAGTTCAGGTCCTGTAAAGATTGGGGCATTTAAAATGCCCTAGATTCCTAGGAGTAGCAGTGTTCCAGATATTTTGCAAAGGAAAAGTTGACAGAATTTTAGGGAAGAACAGTCAAATCTGTAATCATACAGGACAATTTTAATCTAATGATTTTTTTCCTCTAAGTATAGAATAATAATATGATTAAACATTTAACTGTCATGTGTAAAAGTAAATCCAATAACTTCAAGAATGCAATACACCAAGCACACTAGGAACTTTTACAAAAATCAAATAGTAGAATAATAAAGTGCATTTCAGCAAATTTGAGAAAATTGAAATCATAGAGTATTTTTTGTGACCACATGTCATTAAGCTAGAAAACAATTAAAAATTTTAACTAGAAAATTCACACTTTGGAAAGAAAAAAGCACACTTTTAAATAACCTGTGAATCAAAGAGGAAATCATAATGGATGTAAGAAAATATTTTGAACTGAATTATCATAAAAATATGGCAAATAAAAACTTGTAATATATAGCCAGATCATTATTTTGGGATATTTATAGATTTAAATGAACATGTTAGGAAACAGGAAAGGGAAAATTAAAATGATCTAAGCAACCATCTTGAAAAGTGACAAAACGACATTAAAATAAATGAATACAGAAAAAGGCAATGAAACTGAGAGCAGAAATTAATAATGCCAATGCTTCTTAATTATGATGAGATATGTTCCCCTAAACCCATAGTTGAAAATATCGTAAGTCTAAAATACATTTAATCTACCTAACCTACTGAACACCATAGTTTAACCTAACCTACCTTAAATGTGCTCAGAGCGCTTATAGTAGCTTACAGTTGGGCAATTATCTTTTTTATAAAAGATTATTTTTAGAGAGAGTGGAAGGGAGGGGAAAAAGAGTGAGAGAAATATTGATGTGAGGGAGAAACATTGATCAGTTGCTTTTCGCATGCTCCTGACTAGGGACCTGGCACATAGTCCAAGAATGTACCTTGACCAGGAACTGAACCAGTGACATTTCAGTTTGAGGGGTGACACCCAATCCACTGAGCCACACCAGTCAGGGCCAGTTGGGCAATTATCTTGAGTTTCATCTCAAGAGTAATTGCCTTCCTTTTCTTTTCACCAGAAGCAGAAGAGACACATGGGCATTTTGTAGACATGATAGTTTATGAGAACACAAAGTCCAAAAAATGCTGACTACACAGTATACTGTAGAGTATTGGTTGTGTACCCCTACAATCACATGGCTGACTGGGAGCTGCGGCACACTACTGCTGCCCAGAATCACAAGAAAGTATTGTACAGCATATCTCTGGCCTAGGAAAAGATGAAAAGTCAGAATTGGAAGTATGGTTTCTACTGAATGCATATCTAATGAATGGGTAACCATGAAATCAAAGAGAAGATTAAAAAGTCCTAGAAGCAAAATGTACACACAACAACCCAAAACCTATGGACACAGCAAAAACAGTCCTGAGATGGAAGGTCATAGCACTACAGGCCTACCTCAAGAAGCAAGAAAAATCTTTTACTTTTTTTAAAGATTTTATTTATTTATTTTTAGAGAGGGAAGGGAGGGAGAGAGAGAGAGAAACATCAATGTGCGGTTGCTGGGGGTCATGGCCTGCAACCCAGGCATGTACCCTGACTGGGAATCGAACCTGTGACACTTTGGTCCGCAGCCCGTGCTCAATCCACTGAGCTACACCAGCCAGGGCAAGAAGCAAGAAAAATCTTAAATAACCTAACATCTAAAAGAACTAGAGGAACAACAACAAAGCACAGAGCAAGTAGAAGGAGGGAAATAATCAAGATCTGAGCAGAAATCAATGATACAGAGACTAAAAAAACAATAACGAACATCAATGAAACCAGGAGCTGGTCCTTTGCAAAGATAAACAAGACTGATGAACCTTTAACCAGACTCATCAAAAAAGGAGAATGAGGACCTAAATAAATAAAATCAAAGGAAAGAGGCAAAATAATACCTGGTATCACAGAAATACAAGGTATTACAAGAAATTACTACAAATAACTATATGCCAAGAAATTGGTCAACTTGGGCAAAATGGATACATTTCTAGAAATATACCATCTCTGCAAACTAAAACAGGAAGAAGCACAAAACCTGAATAGACCTATAGCAATGAAGGAAATTGAAGCAGTAA